AACCTTGAACCGGTGAGATTTTCACCGCTGAACTACAGATAACAGTCAGCTGAAGTGGCCTGCAGTACTGCACCCTAACCACTGCGCCACCTCGGCTCTTTGAATGAATGACTGACTGACTGAATGAATGAATGAATGAATGAATGAATGAATGAATGAATGAAACCCATACCTGCAATGTAGAAGCCCTAGCATACTTTTCTTCCTAGGTTTCAATTTTCTGTTTTAATGAACTCTGAGTAAGGGCTACAGTATTTCTTGGATCCTTCATTTATGTGCAACATATATTCAACTATAGAGGAGTTTGTTGTTCTTTGCAGGACAGTTTTGGAATGCAGCTTCTTTCAGCACCGAAGCTTCATACCTTCTCTTCCCCACTTTCCATTCCGAGTTCACTGCAGACATTTCTTTCTTCTTCAAAACAACCAAGATGTCTGGAGTTTTTTTGGAAAATTTGGGAATGAAAGATTTCATCAGAGTTGAAATAAGCTGTAAGTTTAGCAACTGAAATTGTGGTGTATTGTTATTTTTCTGCAGATCTGATTTAGTCACAAAATGTCTATGGAGAAACTCATTCATCCAGGTCATGATTGTCCCAAAGATGTTTTTCCAAAAGGCAACTGGACTTCCTCTTTTCTTCCTGGAAAATGTTTTGCTTCACATCCAAGAAATGAAACACTTTCAAGGGAAAAAAACTCAAGAAAGTCCAGTTGCCTTTTGGAAAAGCACTTCGTACTTTCTTGAGTGCTTAATATTTGTTAAATTTGTTTCTGTGTTTAAATCTTAAAAGTGTAGATAACATGCCAAAAGTTGAGAGATTATGACCCTTTAACATAATCAGTGTTCAGTGCCTTGAACCATTATCCCAAACTTGCTCCCATTTGTGTTTGTGCACGCACAAGCATACATACAAACACATCCTTCTTCGAAGAGTTTCATTCAAATGAAGATAATATTATTTACCTCAGTATCGACTCTGCTGAGCAGCTGTCTCTTATCTGAAGCAGCACACAAAATTGCTACTTTTCACAGATAGTATATGAGTTATCAGCAGTTTACCTCTCCTTCTCTTCTTAGGTGATGATAAATAGTATTTATGTACTATTTATGTAATATCCTTTTGGAAAGGAGCTGGAATACCAATGAGGAAAGGGGAAGCTTCCAAAATGTTCAGAGTGCCATCATGGCCTGTCAAATAAGCTATCATTCTTTGAAACTAAATTGCAATTGCTGCCTGTATTAAAGCAGGGTTCTCCAACCCCCAGGCTATGGCCCGGTACCTGGCCACAGCCTGTTTTGAACTGGGATGCACAAGTAGCAAGTGTGGGCAGCTTGCATGGGCAGCTCTACTTGCACTGCTCCATTTGTGTGAGCGGTGGGCATAAATAATGCTGCACGCACAAGCACATATGCCTGTGGTTTGCATAGAACCATCCCCTCCCCCCCTCCACCACCGCCTGTCTGCAAAAGCTGAAAGGTTGGAGACCACTGTATTAAAGGAAAAAAAACTAATTTAATTCATCTTTTTATCTGCTGTTTTAGTCTATTAATGGAGGGTGTTGTGCTGTGGATTTAGAATGAAAGAAGGCCTTTCTGTTAGATGTTTGTTCATCAGGATGAACAAACTAAGAATGAACTACCATGCTTTTGCAATATAGATGTAATAACTTTATGACATAAAATGTAATAAAATAAAGCTTCCAAGGCCCTTTGATTCATTAAATCCTTGGTAAAAGCCATAGCATGTTATCACTAGGTAATGAAGAACGGTTTAGTGTTAATTGCACATAATCTCCTATTTGGGTGATACTTCAGTGTGTTGTATTTCATTCTCAAGGCTCTTTTTTTTTTTAAGTATACAATAAAAGCAAGCCATTGACATGAAATTACATCAGAATAATACAACCTGTCAAGATGGTGTGCACTGTAGAAATGAAAGAAATCTCTTCTCCACTGTGTTATGATTTTTGCTTAGGGCAGATTATGTTTGGAGCTAAATGGTTGTGAGTACAGTCCACAAATCTGTTGATGTTGATGCTGGAATAGAGTCAAACTGTAAGGAGATCAATGTCATTGATTTCCTTCCATAAATAGAAGAGAGTTCCGAACTCCCTATGCCTAAGAAAATTCATTCCAATGGATTGAAAGATTTTTATGATTTATGTACATATGTATACCAATGGAGTACAAATTTATCAGAAATCTATCTTCTCCCTTACATAGCTAGAGATTCAAATTAGAGACCCAAATGAATGATTATAGCCATACTTCAGCCTTATTTTGTTAGTGTAATGAAACCCTGATGAAAGTAATGTTGCTTCCATGGCCTAAACATTTTAAGAAACTGGAAAAGGTGGATAAATCAGAGTTACAACTGTCCAAAGGTATTTTTCGGTGTATATACATTGTTATTATTGATCTACTGTTGGCAATATACCAGATGCCAGCTTTTTTTTCCTTGTCCTCTTGGAGATGAATCTCTCTTAATCTTGGAATTGATTTTGCCCTAAATGTTATACTGCCAATTCTTCCTTCTTACTTAGATTTCCAACAGATCACTGGGGTCTATATGTCCCAACTAATCCCCAGAAAAGATGAGGTTGATTGCAAGGGATGGAAATGAAATAAGAACTCAGTACAAGTCTCCTTTTAATGAACTATGTAAAATGTAAGAGAAATGGCACAACAGGGTTGATTAGTTCTTGAATTATATATTTCTTAGAATATAAAAAGAAAAAAAAGACTTAATTCTCTCACCTGTTTGGGTTTTTTCCTATTCATTTGGTTCTAAAGGCAAGTGTCTATAACCTCCAGTTTTTGAAAGACTGAACTATGCAAGTCTCAACATATCAGTGATTTAACTATCAGAGTAATCTTTATAACATTCATAGTTTGACTTCACTTTTCTTTAAATCATTAGGAATAGAAACTTGCTCTCAGGTGTTTCTCTGATTTTCAGCAGAATAAAAAGTAATATTTTAAGGAAGGGAAGAAAATTTTAACAGCATGTGTCATTAAATTTAATAACACAGTTTGAACAAAAGCTCTAGTGTTTGAAACATGTTTAATATTGTCTATACTATATCAACAAGTTATACATCTGAATATAGCAAATGTAGGTGGAAATCATCCATTAAATGGTCAATTATTGAACATTAGAGCTGAAAATTGTTGTATGAAAAGCACTTTGGTATAGTTTTTCTCCCTTCTCCTAATATGATCTAGATATTGCCATCAGTATTGTTTTATGGAAATCATTTTTATGTCTTACATTTTCTCCTCTGTATTTTCTACAAACTTTACAAGCTATTTTGATGACAATTATTGAATTTTTTAAAAGCAAATATTAGTTAGATAACACAATATTTGTGGAAATGTTCTATCTCACTGATCCATCACAAGGCAAATACATACCTTCTATTTAATGAGTATAGCAGCCTAATACATGAACATAGAGAAAATGAGAATATTTGACCAGGAATTTGATTTCACAAAGACGTTTTGGGACTGTAGATATGTACCATAATATATAGATGATTTGCTATGTGAATTCAATAATCACATAAGATTGATTGTTTCAAAACTCTTAAAATATTAAAATATTACTACCACAGTTATGTACTTATTGTTATCAGCATATCATACTAAGTTTCACCTTATGCATTCCAGCTCCTAAAGCCATCACTTTCACAGTTGATGTTGGAAATGGCCCAGTAGAGATTATTGTCCAATCCCCTGTGCCCTTGAATGACAACCAGTGGCATTCTGTGCATGCTGAAAGGAATCTTAGAGAAACCTCTCTTCAGGTAGACAACTTTCCAAAGAAGATTTTAGAAGCACCTGCTGAAGGACATTTTCGATTGCAGCTAAACAGTCAATTATTTGTAGGTAGGTACAATCATTGGTACTACCCCCTCCCCCCATTTTTTTTTAACAAATGCTAGTCTCTTGGGATAAATGAATACTCTTTTAACTATTGGGTATTTGATATTACTGATTCCTCAATGTATTTCCATGAAAAGTTTAGATATTTCTACTATTTGAAGATAAATTTAGAAACTTGTTTTTCTTGAATTTGTACACTGATATAAATTGTCCCACCAATGGATAACAAAACCAAAGACTAAGCAATAGAAAAAAGCTCAGAAGAATTCACCGAAAAAAATAATAACAGTAACTGTATTCCATTTTCAGACATGCATATAAATTACTATAGTTCACTGCCCAATTAGTAGTGGACAGGAATCAGAAAATCCACAGTCCTAGCTTTTTAGGTTACCATAGTATTTTGTCTCATTGTGTGACAGAATATATAGTGATACCATAAAAGATAGGAAATGTATTGTTGCTATCCAAAAGATACAATTTTGAAGATAAGCAATGCATTCCTTTTGATACCTATTCTGGAAACAGAGTCCCAAAAGGCATTTAGACACCATTTTTGCATACTCTTGAGAATATTCAACAGGTCTTTATTGCAATTCCAAAAATTTCTCCCTGCTACAGAATATTTAAAATAAAATTGAAATGCAAGTCTTTGTGAGATGATTTTCACGGTCTTATGTTTAAGAATAGAAATCCTATATTCTCAGAGTTATTTCTCATGCCTGATTTTTTGGTTTGGTTTGGTTTTGAACTGCAACTATTGCAACATATGGTTTCAAGTTTCTACACCCAATATTCTAGATGCATGTCTTTTTCTAAATTGCAAAATTATAAGATGACGCCAACAGAAATGATAGAACGGGAGTCTTAATTGATTTAAAAAACATGCAAGTCTAAATACAAATTCCCAAAGCCCATGTCTACATTATATTTTAAGTTACTAACTTCATTTCAATTGTTTCCCCCACTTGCACTATCATTGCAATTTAGATTCTCACTAGATTGCAAAAAGGACTTCCTGCTTGATAATGAGGTCAAAACTGCATGTTCAATTAAAAATACTGGAGGTGGCTGATGGAATACAGAATGCCCACTTCCTCCCTTTGTGCACTTTCCTCCTTTTCTCTTTTTCCTGCTCAGTTTCACTTTTATTGAATTTTTAAATATAAGATCTTTATTTATTGATTTAATTGCTTTACATGGCATTTTATTCAATGTCTGTAAGCCACCTATAGTTGCCTTTGATGAGATGGTGGAACACATGTTTGAGAAATAAATAAGTAAATAAATAAATACCCTCTCGTACATTAATTTGGAATCAATGGGAAATACATTTTTACAATATTGTACAATGAAACCTTAATAAGAATTTCATTTTTTAAAGGGTCAGTTGTTAAAATATAAGCTTTACCTTACTTATACCTGAAACAGGAGCATCTGCATCCAAACAGAAAGGTTTTATGGGATGTATTCGCTCTCTACATCTAAATGGACAAAAACTTGACCTTGAAGAGCGAGCCAAAGTGACTCCTGGTGTCAAACCAGGATGCTCAGGCCATTGCAGCAGTTATGGTAACCTTTGCCAGAATGGAGGGAAATGTGTGGAGAAACCCAATGGCTACTTGTGTGATTGCACCAATTTGGCATATGAAGGACCATTCTGCAGAGAAGGTAGGATGGCTGAATGGATCCTTACATTTCTTTTTGCTCATCCAGTGAACCTTGATCAAACTGTATTATACAAAATGTCACTTTCTAATTTAAATTATCTAGATCAATGGTTCTCAACCCGTGGTTTGAAGATCCCTGGCCAGGCCAAGATGTCATCACAGGAGTCCATAAAGTCTTGAATAAATGTTATTATTTGAATGTTGAATTAGGTCTTTGGGGTCTGTGGCCATGGTCCTTGGCCACAAAAGGTATTTAAAGGGGGTCCATGATGAAGAAAGTGTTGAGAACCACTGATGTAGATTCTCAACAAATAACTTATTATAATTTTTGGGTGAGAAATTTTTTCTCTATTTCGCTACTTTCATTAGAAATTTGGGAATTCTATTTTATTTGTAAGAGCTATGGGGGTGCAGAGGTTAGAATGCAGGCTACCTCTGCTGATTGCCAAAATTTTGGCAGTTCGAATCTCACCGGCTCAAGGTTGACTCAGCCTTCCATCCTTCTGAGGTAGGTATGCTGACTCTATAAACCACTTAGAGAGGGCTATAAAAGCACTGTGAAGCAGGATATAAGACTAAGTACTATTGCTATTTTTCCTCTGGCAAATTGGCAGATTGGCTAGCTGGCAGGATTGTTAGTATATACAAAATCTCTTGCCAGTAGATATTGAGGTTGCAACTCTCCATCCTTTCAGTTGAAGCAACTGTAGAGTCTCATGCCAATAAGGACACCAGATCAACAATCTTCTTCTCACTGCCAATTGGGTGCCTGACTGGTCTTATACTGCTTTTCACATACAGTTAATAATGGAAAGGTTCAATTTGGTGTCTTTAACTAATGTATCATTGGTGCGCTCTCTTACTGATTTGTTCAAAATTCTACTAGATTTTACCCAGAAGTCTCATAATAATAATGTACCTGATTTCAGAGAGGCACATTTGGAGACTAGTAATCTAGATATATTAAAAAAAATTGAAACCTGGAATGAGGTCATGTCTTCCAGAATATGAAACTACTTTAATTGTCAAGACTTTTCTCATTTGAAAACTCAAATAACAAACAAGCAAAAAAGTATCATCAAGAATCCCTTGATGATATTTTTATATGTCCTGTGGAACTAACTTCTCATGGCTTGGGAATTAATTATTTTTGGAATACTTACTTTTGTAATTATATGTTAATGCAATAAGATAATCAGCTGAGAGGAAAAATAGAACACGGTGCTCATAAAATGAAGATAATGTTTGTTTGTCATAACATTATAGATATTAATTTCTTATAGCTGACAAGAAAAGAACTTGAGCTTTAGATGGCATTTTAGATGGGGTGGAAAACCCTAACGATCTTCCATAAACCATCTCCTTTTTTTAAAGATTATAGCCCAGATCTATTTGAGCGTTTGAGTTCTAATTGTTACTGCCTCTTGCAAACTGGCAATGCCCCATTAACAACAAGTGATCCTTGGTTACTTAACATGGTTGGAAGAACATCGTATAAACTGCACAAGTCCTGTGGGAAAAAATGGGCATGGTAAATAATAGTGTGCCTTCCATTCAAATAAATGAGCATTTTCATATTTTCAAAAATAAGGAATGATCTTTTTTTTTACACTGACAGCTTAGTCCAAACTAAAACATTACATTATATTTAGTGACAAACTAAACATTACAGCATGAAATGGAGTTTGATTTGAAAGGATCTTTCTCTGACCAGGCAGACTTCAATCACCCTTCCTCAATCTCCCCCAGATTTGCTTTCCTTTTGGGGAGAACAAATTATTTTGCTAGGTGAAGAGAGCTGAACATTTTCAAGAGTAGCATATTTTGGGGATCTTCTAAAGTCAACTTTACTGAGTGTAGTTTTTTTTTTCCTAGCCAATATGGCTTATTTACTTTTTTCCCTTTCCTAAAATAATTCACATTGACAAATATTTTGAGTTTTCATAGTGATTGTCACTGAGAAACCAAGAAAGCATGAATTAGGATAGGATCTTCTGAAAAGCAAACAGCATGCCAGGATCCATTCTATTATTTCCTTGACTGTTGCCAATGATTATTTTATGCAACTTTTAAATATTTGAAAATGTGGCTGCTACTTCTCAGTATTCCAGACAATGAAACCCTCTAGGCAATGTATTCATAAGCCTTCATTGAAATTCACAACCTGCTTGGGAGTTTGTCCTCATCTATGGACTCGCCGCTCAACTTTTACTGATTCACTTCTTTCAGTGATTCCAGAATCCATCCTCCACATGTTTCAGCCTCATTTGGCCTCCTGCCTTTCTGTACAGCCAATCAGGTAGCAACAGAGAAACACTGCTATTATACTGCATGTTCAGTAAACTGCTTCAGGCTGGCAAAAGATTATCTGGTTTAGTATCATATTTCCTCTGAGAAAGCATATACAGGCAGTCCTCGATTTACAACAGTGATGGTTCGAAGTGGCAACCATTTTTCACATTTACGACTGCTGCAGCATCGCCATAGTCATGTGATCAAAATACAAAAACTTGGCAACTGACTCCTATTTATGATGGTTGGGTTCATGTGATCCCCTTTTGTGACCTTCTGACAAGTAAAGTCAATGGGTGAGCCACATTCACTTAACAACTGTATTACTAACTTAACAACTGCAATATTCACTTAACAATTGTGGCAAGAAAGGTGATAAAATGGGGCAAAACTTACTTAATAAAAGTCTCACTTAGTAACAGAAATGTTAGGCTCAATTGTTGTAAATCAAGGACTACCTGTATTTAGATTGTCAGCTTTTGCATCCAGATTGCAAATAAGGGGAATAAAAATCCATGTATGGAAATATTTGGATGTTCTTGGTTCATATGAAATCATATTTTCCAACTGTAGACTGTAAAACACAAAGCACACACAAATGCATCTGCTTTGTTGATTCTAAAAATTCAATTTCAACAGCTCCAATAGTTTTCAATCTACTGAATCTGATTTGTGCATTTTCTCTGTATTTTTAGAAGTCTCTGCAGTGTTTGAAGCAGATACTTCTATTACCTACACTTTCCAGGAACCTTATCCTGTAACTAAAAATGCAAGTTCTACATCTTCAGCCATTTATGCTGGTACATCCATATCCAAGGAAGACATCGCTTTTACTTTCTTGACAGCAAATGCTCCAAGCCTTCTGCTTTACCTCAATGCCTCTTCTCATGAATACCTGGCTGTTATTTTGTCCAAGAATGGTAAGTGTGAATGTAAAGTTTAACAATTCCATGGCAATATATAGCAATATATAGATTATATAAATACCATCATGTTATGAATTTTAATTACCCGGCTAATCACATTTTCTACTCTTGAACTTCCATCCAGAACCATAACAAATATGTCCTTTCTTAAAGAACCATATTGCTGAAGGTGAATAGTACTGTGATTCACAGTTGCTGACAATGCATAATATTATTTGCATTTGGCAGAAATCCATTTCTTCACATAATTTTTATGAGAATGAAAAATGTTCATCCTGTGAAATTATATCTCCAGGTAAGTATACCTAAGTGTACAAGAGTGTCCATGGAAACACTGACCCACTGGTTCTTTGACACATTATATTTCTAAATTTCTACTTTTCAAATTTATCTAGTATTAATTTTGCCACAGTTAACTTCATACTTCATCTCCTTCATTTCTTTACTTCCTGTTCTGTTTTATCTTGATTAGTGATGGTTTGATCTTGTTCTTTTATTTCTGTAATGATAAAAATCCCTGATCTGGAGAAAGTCTACACTGTAACTGGTAGGTTACAGTGAGTTTCTGATGTTTTACATGGACATGTTTAAATTTGGAGGATTTTTTGTAATAATATACTACCTTTATCTATGTAAATATACAAAACAATTCAACCTCAGTTTTTATTGTAATCCCCAACCTTTTAATGTAGTTTTCTATTGTTCCTTCCCATGTGCGTTTGGTAGACATATCCATAATATATCTACACATTTTTGAAAACTTCTTGTACATGAAGATATATAAAAACCGTAATCATGAAAATATTTCATTCCCCATTTTTGAAGATAACTAGTTATCCAACTATTAATCTTAAGATTTCAGTATCGGTTGCGTCTCAGTGCAAAGAACAGTGGGAAGCTAATAAATTTTCTTTATAATCTTTATAGTGAGTTTGGAGAAATCCCATTCATTGCACTACCTTGTTTTAGAGATAGTGGTGGGCAGATTCATGGGAGCTATTTGCAGTGTTAAACACAAATAATATGTATATTTTTCTAGCCTATCATGTCTGTAAAACCTGAATCAAAAGAAACCCCATGCAGTGCAGAAGAAGATTCAAACTCCTAGTAAATTTCACCACTGCAGAGAAAGTTGCACCATTTCATTATTTTCTTTGCAGTTCTTCAGCTTCTCAGAAGACTCAAATATTTTTCCCTAACAAAACTTGAATCAGATTTTTGAAAAGGCCCAGGATGCTTTTCCTCAATGGTGTAATTACCGTATATAAATTGGGCACTGACATTTTAATTCAAGGCTTGCCTAGTGGAATTAAGCCCGCTTGCATTTATTATGCATTAATTCTGGTAAGTGTTTGCATAAGTCTGGTCCTAGAAATTTAAAGTGACATCACTAATTATAATTTATTTTGTTCCGTTCCATTCCTTGATTGTTCCTGGAAGTTCAAATTGATTCGTTTATTTATGTGGCCTGTGCTTAGTTTTATCATCACTGACCTTAATTTATTTCCTGAAATATGCTTTCTAATAATTCTTAGATCAGGAAAAGAACGGTATTTCAAGTGAATAATATGGGAGTACTGAATAAAAGGTTTAGCTATCTGTCCCTCAATCTACTACAATCTACAGACTTTGACTTGAAGATCATAGCATTTTAACCTGTTATTAAGCTGCTCGTCAGATGCCTTCTAGATTGTTCTATTCCCTGAAACAAAACGAAAAGCATTAAGTTCATAAATTACATAGATCAGCTAAACCTCAGCCACACTTTGAACTCAAAGCTTGATTTAAATGATATCAAAAGATTTTTCTATTTGCAATAAAGCTAATAACATAGATTCTTACTAAATTGGTGTATATGACCATTATATCACTCAAAAGTCCTATTTTATCAGAATCTTGATACCTTATGAAACCAGTTTGTGCAGGATGAATGATTGCAGGTAATATCTTCCAGCCAAAGTAGCTTTTATTATCTTAACTTCAATTGTATTAGAGATTAGACAATAATTTGTTCACTGGATGGGATTGTTACCAGCCTTCAAAATTACTCCAAAATAAGTTCCTTATTAAGAAACTGAAAGGGTTTTCTTTTCATTTCTGTAATAACTCCAGTAGCCACTTTCTCCTTGAATTCTTTATACCATCCTATGATTATTCTATCTTGCCTGGAGGCCTTTTTAATTTTATTAAATCAATACTATAGATTTCCTGTAATATTCTGGGTGCAGCCCAACATACCTGGGTATACATCTAAAGTTTCTGGGAGATTTATTATGCTGGAGAAAAAAAACATTTATCTTATTAGCTTTATCTACATATGAAAAATGTATTTTATAGAATAATAAAAAAAGAATTAATTTCATTACCATTGAGATAATTTGTTTCCCTGGCCCCAAATGTGTTATTAAATATTCTACTGTTCTACAAATGTTTTCAACAATAATGCAATAATTTCCTAGATTTTTCTTCCTATTCACAACAAATTTGTTTAACTTGAATTTTTTAAAAAAATGTTCTGTCCTTATATATTTAATTTTAAATATAACAATAAAGCATACAATTAGTCCAATTTCAATATAATGCATCTCAATGCAAAATATACTTCCTGAGTGTGTTTATGGCATGTCCATTCAGTGCTTAATTAAGTTCAAATTCATGTTTTCTACATTGTGATTCAGTGGGACGCGGTGGCTCTGTGGCTAAGTTGCTGAGCTTGTTGATCAGAAGGTTGGCAGTTCAGCAGTTCGAATCCCTAGTGAGGGATTAATGGAGTGAGCTCCAGTTACTTGTTCCAGCTTCTGCCAAACTAGCAGTTTGAAAGCACATAAAAAATACCACTTTGGTGGGAAGGTAACAGTGTTCCGTGCTCCTTCAGGGTTTAGTCACGCTGGCCACATGCCCAC